TGTCACAAATTTTATGGATGATACTTGGATGCTATATTGAAATATACCGAGATCTTTCTTACCTGGTGGGAAGTTTTGAGGCATTTGGAAAAAGATGAAGCAGAGGAAGCTTCATAGAAAGAAAGTACCACACTTAAAGCAGAGTTACTGAATTGTTCTAAGTGGCAGAAGAAGTTGGGGATAGAATCTGGAATATGGGAGAGGCTTCTCCACAAATAATTTGTCACTGCTTTAAGTACAGATGATGAAAGATATCTCAAAATTACCTTGTACATTTAAAAAAAATACAATTCCCCTACTTCTCTGTACAGTATTTGTTTTCTTGAAAGATTAATGTTAGCTTGAATTCATGTATGACTCATGTTTGTCTTGTCATGGATCTTCTTGGAGTTAATTCTCAAATCCACTCACAGGCAAATTGTTTTACATTCCTAGGTATAGTCCAGCGATACCTGGAGAGCCACAGTCTTTTCATACTTGCTTTTCTATTAATGTCCAAATCAAAAGCTAGACAGTAGGAATTATGGATTTGAGTATCATTTCAGTTAATGAGAAAATCCATTATGCTTCCTTTTACTGAAAGGAAGAGAGTACAGGTTATACAATGGCAATGCTGCCAAAGGGGCCTAAAAAGATCACTTCAGTATTCTAATTCAGAAGATAATTCTTCAACAAGTTTCTGCTCCAGTTAAAGTAAATGCAAGCTCATATAATAGTTAACTTAAACTTTCAAGTCCCTAGAGGCAAATACTTTCAATTAACCAAACCATTATTTTATTGCCACAAACTTCCAAAATAGCAAGGGTACACAATCTTAGTTCATTATTAAACTCTTTTGCTAAACATTTTTAGAAAACAAGGGACTAGAAGCTGTCCAATATGGCAAGAAAAGTATTATTTTTGGGGCAAGAGTTTTGTGTGGATCATACATACCAAGAATTGCTGTTTCCCATGTTTGCTTTTGATTATTAAAGTGATCTACCTCCTTTTCAGGAAAGTTCTTATCACTTATTTTCATCAAAATTAAAAGTAGATAATTTCACTGTTTTTTTAAAAAAAAAATAGTGTAATGTTTTGTAGGGAAGCATTAAGCAAATATTTTATAAAATAAAATACACATACTTGTTCTTCATAGCTATGATAATGTACATAGGATTCCCCATATGATATGCAGATTGTTCTTGAAGAAGTGACGTCACAGAGTAAAGATCTTTAATGGAGGCAGTGGAGGACTTGGGATCTTAATTGATAAGATGGTTGTTAATATTCATGATGAATTATAATGTTTTGCTTTTGGGTCTGAATTTTGAACAACAATCATGTTCAATTAGATTTTTATTGTTTCCTGGATTAGCTGTATTGAGATAACACACCACTGGAATAACTTCCTCTCAGGAAATTCTGCAACTGTGCCATTAGCTTGATAAGCTGTACATAACAAAGAGTTCAGTTTGAAACATTATTTCCTTTCCAATGTTCACATTACAATGGATCTTTTGCTAAACATATTACTGATTACTTTTTGTTTTCATATTTTTATACAAAAAAGTAAATGATAAATTAAGGTAGCAATGCTAAAGCATTTATCTGGAGTAAAATCCCAGTGGATTTTTCTTCTGAATAAGTTTATGTTAGACCTAATGTCTATTAGGTCATTCTATAGATCAGTTTTGATTCTACCCGCTTAATGCTGGAAAACTTTGAATAGGGTTCGCACCTTAGATGGTATCTGTCAAGACTCTCCATTTAAATGGGGCAGAGTGTCTTCCTCTGAATGTGACTGGGGGGCTCCCCGGCAGACATTGGATCATATTGTGATTAACTGTCGTCTGAGAGCTTATACAGGAGGATAATTAAAACTACCATGCTTAATTGGATAAATGACCTAGATATTAATAAATAGAATACTAATTTTTATCTTTATGAACCAATGTATTTTAAAATGTAATTTGTAATTTAATATGTAACTTCTTGAATTTCTTATACCTTACAAAATTAACCATACATCTCCATCTTATGTGTATCATACTATTATGTTCTTTCTATACATCTTTACTCCTGCAATCCATGTCTTTCATGCCATACACAAACAAACAAACAAACAAACAAACAAACAAATAAATAAATAAATAAATTATAGGTCAATGAATGTTAACATCCAGAAACTATTTTTCAAAAGACAAAAGATATATGATGCTGCTTTCTGTGCCCTTAAGTCATAATCAAAAGGTTGTAGACTTTCCTAGATTCTGTCGAAGGAGTTACCATTACATATGGTGTATATGTGAATATTGAAGATGCCCAGGCATGCCTGTTAGATTTGTTCCACTTTTGCATTCGCTTTGTGCAATTTCCAGTATGACTGGAAGGGGTGGTTCTTTCTTAGCCCGAATCTTAGATTGGAATGTTAGGTTATACATAACTCAGTTACCGAAATGTATATGTGGTAAAATATTTGATTTTAAAAGCCGATACATTTATGTGCAAAATTATGGCATGTCATTTCTTCACAGATTAAGTTTTAGCATTTGCTAACTTTTTAAATTTACACTGCAGATCAGAAAGAAAATTATTATTAAATATTAGTATTTAATTTCGAGAGAGAGAGAGAGAGAGAGAGAGAGAGAGAGAGAGAGAGAGAGAGCACCCTCCAGTCCGTGGAAAAACCTCTCTCCACGGAACCAGTCCCTGGTGCCCAAAAGTTTGGGGACCTCTGCTATAGTCCATAATTTCTGCAATCTAAATTCACTAGCCTTGCTGGCTAGAGCTATTGGTAACTGAACGTTCAAATTTCTAGATAATCACATTCATGCTTTCTTTTATTTTTAAATACAGAAGACAGAGTGAAAGGGGGGAAGGAATAACTATACTGCAACAAATTACAGGTAGTTAAATATAGCATTAAACTATAGTAGAATAGCAAATAATCTATAATTACACCTCAGTGCTCATGAGCAAGCCTAATTGTATAAGGTTGTAGGTTTCTATACAATTTAAACATTTGCTGTTCTTAAGCTTTGTGGCATAGATTAATTATTTTTGTCTGATAAATTCGTAATATTGTGTTACTCTTGATATATAGTTTCTTTAACAAAAGAAAGTAGGGTGATCAGTCATGTGGACATTCTAGAACAGTCTTTCTGACTTCCATACTATTTATGCACTGAATGTATATAGAATACCAGGCAGAAGAAGTTGTACAAATTCTGCTGTTCAGATTAGTTGGATTCATCCCCTAAGTTTAGAGCTTGATATGCTATTTTAATTTTGAATGCTGTGTTTTCTAGGTGGCTTCAGGTGAATGCAATGAAGACACAGAAGTTTATAATATTACCCTTTGCACAGGAGATGAGCTCACATTAATGGGACAAGCAGAAATCTTATATGCAAAATCTTCAAAGGAAAAGTCACGGCTCAATACCATTTTCAAGAAAATTGGAAAACTCAATTCCATTAGCAAATTGGGCAAAGGCAAAATGCCTTGCTTGATTTGCATGAACCATCGGACCAATGAGAGTATTAGCCTACCTTTCCAGTGTAAAGGGAGATTCAGCACACGTAGTCCCTTAGAGCTGCAAATGCAAGAAGGGGAGCATACCATTCGAAACATCGTGGAGAAGACACGGCTCCCAGTGAATGTGAATGTGCCAAGCCCTCCCCCACGGAATCCTTATGACTTGCATTTTGTCCGTGAAGGGCACCGTTACAAGTTTGTTAATATTCAAACCAAGACAGTTGTGGTTTGCTGCGCACTACATAGTAATAAAATTATTCCAATGCACTTTCCTTTGCATTTAGCTCTTCCAAAGTTTACCCTTCCAGAAAGTCTTGTGAAAGGAGAAGTATGGCATGAAGCCTTTGTGAAGCACTGGTTTGGCCTCTGCCAAGAGCAGTTTGATATTGATGAATATTCTCGTGCTGTGAGAGATGTAAAAGCTGACTGGAATGAAGACTGCAAAAGCCCACAAAAAAGTCGACCCACCAGCCACAACCATGTGCCAAACTCTCTCAGTTATGCCCGGGATGAGTTGACCCAGTCTTTCCACCGTCTCTCAGTCTGTGTTTATGGAAACAACCTCCATGGAAATAGTGAGGTGAATCTTCATGATTGCAGAGACTTGTGTAATGAGTGGGCTTTATCTTCTCATGATGCTTTGCAAGATTCTAGGGATGGGAGCTGTAACTACCCTTTCCCTGAAATTAGTGAAGAAACAGTCTGTTTACCTCCTAAACTGGAACTTCCATATGAAGAACTATGGTTGGACAAAGAGGATGGGAAAGTGAATGATCAGCCACTTACTCGCTCACAGAGCGAAAAGAACAAATGTGACAACTACAGGAGTTCTTTCCGGTCCAAGGGTGGTACAGCTTCTCTGCCAGCACCTGGATCTTTAGTAACAACAGCAAAATCCTCAGATGTTTCCCTACCTCCACCACCTGTGCCTCCTAAATCAGAAGCGGTAAGTTCTTAGCATTCTGCTTAATCCCCAAGATGGGTGAAGTTCCTACCATATATATGAAACACTCATTTTTCATAAGGGGGTGAAGTAATCTGGATAGGATTGCGCCCAGTCGGCCTCTCTCAACCCATCAATCTCGGCATTCCCCATGGTTTATGGAGGAACTGAGAGAGATGAAGCGGATCAAGAGACGCTTAAGAGCGTCGCTGGCAGAAGACAAATGAATTTGACCAAACATGGGTAAGAGCTGCTATTCGAGCCTGCTTTGTGGTGATTTGTGTGGCGATGTGGAAATACTTCTCAGCACAAATTGCATCCGCATCCTGGTGGCCCTCAGAATATGATTTCTGAAAAAGAATGTAAGTTTTAGGTAGATCCATAGGGCTGAAGGCATTTTTATATTACTAGGTTTTAGTATATTTAGGACTAAAACATTAGAATTGGGATTTTAAATTGGCTCCTAGAAACAGGATTGGAAGCAATGCAGGTGTCAAAACTTCAGTGTAATATGTCAAACTGCCTACTTTTAATTACTAATCTAACCATTATTCTGTGGGTCAATTACAGTTTCAGAACTGATTTAAAAATAGCCCTATGTACAACAGGTAGCACTTGTCTAAACTGGATTTCATCTGAGCAAGACTGGTTCATCATCCAGGAAGTTTCTGTTCTAGAATCAAACCTGGAATCCATCTGAAATATATCTAGATATTTCAATTTTCCATCTGAAGGGCCTAAATCAATTACTGTATGCTTTTAAATGCTTTCTGAATTACTTCCTTTTCTTATGAGAGAAAACCTTGAAATGTCTTCGAAAGTAAAATTTCACAATTTATTTTAGAGACGAGAGAGCAGTTCTGTATTTTGTTGAAATCTCTCCTTCAAGAGTTGTAAATAGTTCATTCATTGGAGCAACATGCTGGTGATAATAGCATTTGTACCAGCTTTTTTAACCAGTCATCTTTCACCAGCTACCATCTGCCCTCTGCTGGTGGTACATAAGTAACATGTAAAATCCTCATTTTTAAAAGATAATTCTGGATCTGCCAAAAAAGAAAAGAAAAGAAAAGAAGGACAGAGCGGTTTACATTTTCAGTACAAAGATCATGATTTGGGTAACTTGGATTTATTGAGGGTGCAAATCAAAATCTGGGAGGACAATTAATTTGTTAACGTCTGGCATCGTAAATTCAAAGAGCATATGTTAATTAAAGAAGGGCAGCACAGGAACACTCAGTTGTGTCCTCCAAAAGAAGAGCTGGCCCTTGAAGGTCAGAATCAACAGTTGAAGGCTACTGCTGATACTGTACTACCACTTCCTATCTGTCTGATGGGAGGGTTGGCCTTGACGGGCTTTCTTTTCTTTCTTGTTCCATAACCTGGAGATTCAGATCAGTTTCCTCTATGTTTAGTAGTGTTATTCATCTAGTTCAGTGTTTCTCAACCTTGACAATTTTAAGGCATGTGGACTTCAACTCCCAGAATTCCACAGCCAGCATTGCTGGCTGTGGAATTCTGGGAGTTGAAGTCCACATGCCTTAAAATTGTCAAGGTTGAGAAACACTGATCTAGTTTCTCAATTTCTGCAAAGGTTACTGATCTGGTATGACCCTTACCCCCTACATACTGGAACTACATATTGGAGGTGGTCGACCTCTATCACCACCACCATCCCATGTGTCCTGCTCCCTTCTGGGCCATCTCGTGTCCATGATTTTATCTATTAATGTTTTTATCTGCTATGTTTTTACAACAGATGATTATGTTTCTTGGTGTTTTATATATTATAAAACCACCCACAGTCATGGATATGAGGTGGGCTGGAAATAAATTTTATAAATAAAAAAAGAATATGAGCTGCAAGTTCTCATATTCCACTTTTGCTTTAGGAACTCCAAGGGTCCTTAGATAAATAATGTATTTCTTTATCCTTGTTTCATCCCTAATAATATTATTAGTTTTCAAGACACTTAATTACCTGCATGATGTGCTACATCATAATTGTGCATGATTTCAGGTCAGAGAGGAATGTAGACTCTTGAATGCTCCTCCTGTCCCACCACGCAACTCAAAGCCAACATCTACTAGCCCTTCTATTCCTCCACGGATGAGCAAACCTGTGCGGCAGCAAACTCGTTCTCCTAGTCCAACACTTTCATATTATTCATCAGGACTGCATAATATGTAAGTATTGAGTACTTTCTTTTCAAAGTCAGTCTAATGATATATGGTTCAAGTGCGGAGCTGAGAAAGGACAGGTGTAAATCCCACCTGACAGTGGAGCTCCTTATCTCTCAGCCTAAGCTAGTTCACAAGATTGTTGCTGTAAAGAGAAGTAAACAGAATTCTCCCCCTGCACATTCACAAATGGAAGAAAATTGGGGTAACAAATAATTAATAGAAAATGGATGATTGCAATAACTGAGGAATAAAGAATCAGAGTTGGAAGGGGCCATTAGACCATTAAATCCAGTTCTTTGTTCATATCCTCCCAAATTTGTTAACAGAGTCATGCAAAATGTATATGATAAATCTAAATAGATAAAACAATTGTAGCAATTATATATTCTGGCATTTTATATTATTAGTAGATTGTATTTCTCATTTTATCCTAAAGATAAAAATAATGATGGAGTACTATTGCCAATTTTTGCTTGTAGCAGCCAGAAGATAGATTGGAATCTATTTCTAGATCTTTGGATTATTTGTAATAAGGCAGCAAGATCAACAATCAAAACACCAAAGAAGAATTTTTTGTAATGATGAAACCTAAGCAATGAGGAGCCAGACATCGGTGCTTGTGTAAGAGAACAAAGGAGATTTGTAGGGTGAAGCCTGTTCAACTTGTTTTGATTCATTAAAGAAAGACCTCATGAAACAAAGGACAAATTTGAGATTTGTACTGATTAGTTCACATATTAGTGGGTATCTTATGGTTATAAATATATGAAGAAAAACGCAAGAGCATAGTGATGGAAACCATATATTTTGTGAACTCCATTCTTGGTATTGACACTGATAAGAATCACAGGCAGCAGCATTGAGAAAAGACTTCCGATTAAGATCTTGGAGAGTTACCTCTTCTCAGTACAAGCAAGATTGAGTTGCATAGTTTGACAGTGTAAGTTAACCGTTTATCTGACCCGTTTTAGGATCATTATGACATATGACCATAATGATGAGAGTCCATTACAGTTGTATGTCAAGGATTACTTGTAAGTAGCTTGGTGGAAAAAGGATTTTAACTTTATTTATTTGTTTTTTTATTGTTTTGAGCCACCTAAAGTAGCCCCATGGCAAAACAGGTGACAAATAAATTTAATACTAATAATAGGGCCTTGGAAAGGATTTGATAGGCAGACAAAAATGCCAAATCTTATCTGAACATATGGCTGACTATGCAAAGAACCATAATCATAATATGTACAGTAGTGCCATGGACCTTAACCTTATTGGCATGTGGAACTGTAAGGAAAGCTATCTATTCAAGTATAGACTTTCGCTTACACAGAAATAGATGTCATTATAACCTCTGGGGGTGTAATTATTAGACTGCAGAAAACTATGCAATCTAGTGGACTTGAGTACACTTTCTTTTTATAAAATGGATTGCATATTTGACATAAATATTTGTCCATCATATGCAAATATTTGTCCATACTAATAAAAGGAAAATACTTGCCAGGAAAGTTGTTAAATTTGTCCTCTCTGAAAAAAATGTCTGTATAATGGAAGCACTGTATAGATAAGATAAGATAAGATAACCTTTATTGTCATTTTTATACTGTGGGCACAATGGCACACATCAAAAATGAAATTTAGTTGCCTGCTCTCAAAGTGAAACACATACATGACACACACCTAAACATACTATGAACAACATATGTATAGACCCACATTCCTACATATACGTAGCAAATAAATATTAAATATTGTCCATCTTGAATATATAACGGAAGGAGGAAGCTTGAGAGTTCGCACTGTTTTACATTAATCCGGTGCTATTTTATATATAAAATAACAAAATTCTAAAGTGACTACTACTAACTACAAAAGTTATATACTAATTCTGTCTCTTCTTTTTTAATTATCTCAAAGCAGCGCCACAGAAGGAGATGCTGAAAACTCTTCCGAGATTATTCCCGTAACTTGTTATCCATGTGTTATGGGGAAAAGTGACCTGCAAGAAGTTGACAACAAATTGCCTTTGGGAAGCCCGTCTGCTGATGCTTTGCTCTCTAGACTTTCATGGCCAAATCATTTTTCTGGAGCTGCTGAAGGCCTTACTAGGAGTGAGTTTCTGTTGGATCCAAGCAGAAGTTATAGCTATCCAAGGCAGAAGACTCCCAACACACCAAAGAGAAGCTGTCCAGCACCTTTTACATTCAATTTTGACAGAAATGAAGTTTCTGTAGGGGATGTACCACCAGCTACAACTGAGGTAGAATGCACCATGCCCAGTTGCCCAAAATCAGCAAGTTACTCACTTGAATATACCGATGAAAAAAGTTTGGCAGTAAGTGGTACATTGCAGTCACTTTCTTGCCCTGCCTTACCCCCTCGTGCACCAAAGATGGTAGAGGAGAAGCCAGGGCTTGACTTGTGTCCCGGGTCTCTCAGAATAGATGGTGCTGAGGAGGATCCTCTCAGGAGCTCTCCAGACCTTTCTGAAGACCAGTATCTGGGTAAAAAAAGCATGCAAGACCTCTTCTCAGTTTCTTATTCTTTCTCATCACCCCTTCATCTTCAGTTAGCACCGAGATCTTGTGGTGATGGTTCACCATGGCAGCCACCCGTAGATCTGTCTGGGCTTTCCATTGAAGAAGTATCTAAGTCTCTGCGATTTATAGGCTTATCCGAGGATGTCATAACACTTTTTGTTACTGAAAAAATTGATGGCAACTTGCTTGTCCAGCTCAATGAAGAGATCCTTTCTGAGGACTTTAAACTCAGCAAACTACAAGTTAAAAAAATATTACAATTTATTAATGGCTGGAGACCTAAAATGTAGTGCTGACCAGTTCAACAAAATGTAGAAGTATGCTGAAACTAACTCACAATCTACCATTTTTAATTTTTTATTGCACTAAGTCCCTTCCTTCCTTCCTTCCTTCCTTCCTTCCTTCCTTCCTTCCTTCCTTCCTTCCTTCCTTCCTTCCTTCCTTCCTTCCTTCCTTCCTTCTGTAAATAGTAGGAGAAAAACAGTAATTACTATGCAGATAATTTTGGGTGTTAAGCAAACACTTTTGTACATAATAGAAGGATAAAGGTGTGCCTTTTGCATCCCTGAACATTCAACAGCTGCTAAATAGTGGACATTAAAGGGAATTAATTTGTTCTCATGTAGTCTAGTGAGACATATTTATTACTATGGGTTAGCAAAACTGGTGCACAAATCAGTTTATTTTTATTATTTTTATTATTTTTATTATTGCATTTCCCTGTAATCTTTTTTTCTTTTTGGGTTCTTATTCTAATAATTATAGTCATTGCCTTCTGTTTTTATTGGTTGAACAAAAGGTGTCAAATATTCCATCTTTGCACTTTGTTCTTGTTGTAGATTCATTTTTATAAGATTCCCAGGTTGTAATAAATAATGGATCCATATTTCAATGCAAAAATAAAAAATAAAAAACCCACCACAGTCTGGGCAGATAGATTCTTGCACCCAACAAGAGGTTTTTTTTACATAGCACACCATTAATAAAAAGAAAGCGGTAAAGGCTTTTGATGTCTAGTAGGCGCATAAGATTAAGAATATACTATTTTAATAATTTCAAAGGTAATAGCTCGGTGTCAACCAAGAGCAGTAAATAATTGCATTTAAACGTTTTTCTAACCACTTTTCAAACTATTGAAATATTTACATGTATTCTGAGCAAATGGCAATGCCCTAGTTTAATTTGGAATAATTGGTAAAGATCATTATCTCCACTGTTTATGTATAAAGTGCATTTAAAATTAGAATGGATATTAGAGTGAATTTAAAGTTCAGTTGTAACTTCAGTTAAAGAAGTAAGAAACTGAGTGATTCCATTATTTCTTCCTGATGATTCATATTCTTTTTTCCTTAATATTCTTAAAAATGCATACAATTAAGGAAGAAGAAAACCTGATCTATTAATCTAAATTAAAAGAATCCACATTCCAAACACTAAACCTGTCTAATCAAAATGAAACAGAATAATTTTCTTAAAGCATTTTTTTTGCTTAGGAGAATAATAAGTGTTTTATTAAATGATGTATGTATATTATAAATTTTTGGTATATCTGACATGCATTTGATTAAGTGGCAGTGGATGTTAATCTGTTTACCCCTTATTTGTTTTGACTGTAACAGACTTAAAATTGGACAAACCTCAAGCTTTTGGAATTTATTTTAGAGAAATCCTGAGATTCAGCGTTGCTGGAGGACTTGTACTAAATATATTATAATATTGTGCTTCTGAGCACATGTTTAGTCCACATACTTTTTCCTCTCCAAGTATTCTTTCTCAGGAACCCATTATGGTAGAGGGCAGAGGAAGTTATTAAGCAGTTGGAAACCAGAAACCTTCACCATGACAGTTTACAACCAAAGATCTACCAGAACATCTCAATCTACTTTCTGTTCCCACCTATCATGTTCAGCAAAAAAAACTAATATCTCTATAAGGGAAAATGGGTCTAATGTGCCACCACTCATTCCTTTGCATATTTAAATATTAAATAGCAAGAACAAATGATTCCATGTATGTACTTTAAGTAAAAAAAAAACTGTACACTCTCCCATCTCTTTATGGCCTTGTTGCAATATTTCTGAATGTGATATTTGCATTTGTTTTTCATCTGTTATCCTTGTATCAGGATACTATAAGGCTTGTTTGGAAACCTGACAGAAGACTGCATGCCATATATGAGAGGAAGAAGCTATGTTTTGGCCATTAGAAGAAAATTGTGACCTTTATAATCTGACATATATTCACACACACACACACCAAACTTGGCAAATTCAAACAGTCCTAATTCAGCAAACTCTAAAGAAAGTGATTTGAAAGTGAATGCCTTTAAAATTAATGGATGTTGGAGCCCATTTGCATAGAACTTTTTGGTATGAGCAGGCCAGCAGTGTAATCTGATTTTCAGAAAGGTGTGAATAATTTGGCTATATGCAGACAATCTTAGAAATTTCTATGATTCAATGTCTATCAGAAATCATACTTTAGTCCAAAAAGTGCTATGTTCATGCAAGAAAGGAATGGTTTGAACTATTATCCTATTGATTGTGTTACATAATAGGATTATGCCAAGACGAGAGCTTCTAGGATGGGTAGTAGGAAATGATTAACCGTAGGGTCTTACACTAGTACCACAACCTCAGATTGGGCTCTGGTGCTAATAGGGCCTGGAAAGGCCTGTGATGAGAAGAAACATGGGGAAAATGAAGGAAATCCAGAACAATGAGTACTGCAAATTTCTATATCAAGGTTCGGGGCAGGAGGGAATGAAGACAAATAGACTGTTACAGTAGGGAGAGACCAGTAGGGATCAACCTAATAACTGCAATATCCAGGGACAGGAACTGCTAAATGTTCAATAAGTGAAGGTGACATGCTCTCACAGTTGCTGCTATAAATAGCAGAAGAGAAAGCATATCTAGCATAATCCTGATGTTCCCGATTATCAACACAAACTAGCTCAGAGCGCTGAACAAGCAAAGCGAGAGACCTCATAACTCAGTTTGAAGTAGCAGGATCTTCATTTTATCAATTCCCACCCTGGTACATTGATCTTCCTTGCTCCTTTATCTTCCCCTCCAGAGGCTGAATTCGAGGTTTTAACTTATAACTGTCCACTGCCTGGATATATTTAATAATACTAGTCAGTTGGAAGATTAGTTGTGGGTATTCATATGCACGGGGACTCTATGCAAGGAATGGTGCTAATTCTTGAAACCCTGTCCATTTATACAAAGACTCTAGTAACTTCTAACTGAATAGCATGTCCAGAGGTTTGATGACTGGAACAATGTGAGACCACGCACTTGCACAGGTTACCATATAACTTTCTTGTGCTGTTATGCAAATACTTTGAAGAAGGAAAAATATTCTTGTTGATTTCCTCATAGAATGAATCATTCTGGACATATTTAGACACCATCTAATATCTGCTTTCCTGTGCTGGTTCGAAAAATGATTGTGATGAAAACGATTAGCTGAAAATACAACATGAAAAGTTTGCTTTAGGCAGAGCTTTGAATATACTCTTGCTATTGACTCCCACAGTAGAGGATTTAGCAGAGGAAACACTTTATAATAATTCCTTAGAGCTGAATACGCAATGTTATACCACAGGACTTCAAGTGGATTTCCTTATACCGGTAGGAGAATGGAACCAGGGGAACTAATGCCAGCTATGTGTCTGCATTGTCATCAATAATCAAATGCCTAAACTATAATGCATTGTGTTGCAGAATTTAAGAAAATCCCTCAGGGTTGTCCATTCAGCAGTGGCCCACTAATGAAAAGAATTCCTTTTTTTACCTTCAATCTATTCCAGAAATGCATTCAATCTTCCAAGACAGATTTTAAGGATGCATCAAAGAGAAAACGAAGATGCAGAACTCAGGAACACACATGAACACTATATAGCAGCAAAGAGATTCAAAAATCTCAAACGTGTTACTGTCATATTTTGGCAGTTGGAGGCTTCAAATCAGTGTTGACTCCTGGCAACTACCTGGACAACTCACTGCAGTTTTCTTGGGAAGATTTTTAGAAATAGTTTGCCATTGCCTTCTTTCTGGGACTGGGAGAGAGTGACTAGCCCAAAGTCACCCAACTGGCTTCATTCCTAAGGCAGGGCTAGAATTTGTGGGTTTCCCAGTAGCTTGGTGCCTTAACTACTATGTTAAACTGGCTCTTTTACTGCTACTTAGTGGTTATCTAACTTCTTGCAGCCCCGATCTAAATCATTCCCTATGAAAGATATATTTATTTCATGAGATGAAATCCATTTATGCAAAGCTGGATGTACGATCTTAATAATGTTTTCCAAGAAATAAATTTGTTTGAGTTAGAAAATATTATGGACTTATATAAAATAATCGCAGTGAATGTGAGAGGTATTCTTCTAAGTAAGTATGCATATACTGTAATACAGAGAAAATGTCAAACTGCTAGTGGTAAAAAGAAAAGAAAAACTAATAGCTTTCTCCAATCTGGAGAATGTATCATATTCCATAAATTTTGAGATTAGTCACAATGACTAGAAATTTTGAAATTTTAGGAGCTATAATATCTGGAGGACCCCTGGTAAAGAAGAACGTCTTAGAGAATGCCTGATGTATAATATACTTTTACATATGTCAAAATGCAAGTGGTTCAATAGAATTAGAAAGAGTGGATCAATTTAATGGTTAAAGTTATCCTGAAATAAAATAACAATGTATGATTTTATAGATTCCTATGTAGCAGGTCTCACTCCTCAAAACTGCAGTATTATAAAAACCTTACTGTCACTTCCTCCCCATTCCCCCATATAGTATTTCAAACACAGTATTTAAGGCACAGTGGAGAATAATGATGCATTGAGTCATTTCTGAAGGGGCATGGAATTCTCTTTCATGGAATGCATGCTATTAGTCTGAAGACTGAATAGGTCTTTGGTTAGTTTGATTAAAAGATAGCTTAGCATTACCCATTCCAGACCATAAAAATCTTGTGTCTTATCTAAATCATCCCAAAGGTTTATTAGAAGCTTGAAATGAGCAAATTCATAATTTTACAGTTACTCAGTTAAGTTCACAGCCTCTGGGAAATTAGAGGAGGATATATAATTATTAAAAATGAGGAACAAACAGCATCTAAAGTAAAAACAGACTAAGTTACACAAATCCAATTTCACACTGGAATAAAGAACTGGCAACAGTATTCAGCATTGTAGCTACTTCCTAAAGCAAAATGAATGCCTTATGCATATATCCCTACTCAAAGTTGTGTTATGTTTGGAGCAATTGCAATGTGAACATCAATTTCCAAAACTTATTTTTTAAGTGCAAATTTAGAAATTAGTATAGATTGTAA